GTACAGCAGAGACGAAGGCAAGAAAGGTGGACAAGGAGAAGGGAGCAGCAAGTGCAAGAGAGAAGCAACCACTGAAATGAGAAGCAAACGCATGGTAGAAACAAGTGTAGGGGAAAATCAAATACAGAAAGGAGAATAAAGAGCAAGGGAGAGCAGCACAGGGAGGGAGAGGTTCACACAGAGGGAGGAATGAATAGGTGGAGGAAGAATGGAGAGGGGAGAACAGAGGGTGGAAGAACGTAGAGGAAGAATGGTTAAAGGCTGAGGGGGGAATGGAGGCGAGAAGACTGGAGAAGAACATAGGCAAACAGACAGGGGAAGAATAGATAGAGGAAGAACAAAAACACAGCGAGAGGGAGAGTAATGTATACCTGAGAATGGGCTGCACTTGGACTTGTAAGAATACAGATTGCAAAAGGCAATAAATCAGAGGGAGGATGAGGTAAGAAGAATGCAAGGGGTAAAGGAAAGGAGGGGGGAGGGAGAGTGTTGGTGAGGAAGAATGGAAAGGGAACGGCAGAGAGGGGGAGAGCAGAGGGCGGGAGAATGGAGGGTGGAAGGACGGAGGGGGGAATGGAGGGGGAAAGACAAAGGCAGGATAAACTGAGGGGGGAAAACAGGAATGAGGGAGACCATGAGAGGAAGAACGGAGGTGGAAAGACAAATGGAGGAAGGAGGGAGTGGGGACGGCAAAGTTTGAGGAACGGAGGGGGGACCACAAAGGGGGGGGAACGGAGGGGGGACGACAAAGGGGAGGAACAGAGGGGGGACGACAAAGGGGGAGGGACGGAGGGGGGAGGAACGAAGGGGGGACGACAAAGGGGGAGGGACGGAGGGAGGGGACGGCAAAGGGGGAGGGACGGAGGGGGGACAACAAAAGGGGGGGGAACGGAGGGGGGACGACAAAGGGGGAGGGACGGATGGGGGACCACAAAGGGGGAGGAAGGGAGGGGGGACTACAAAGGGGGGGGACGGAGGGGGGACGACAAAGGGGGAGGAACGGAGGGGGGACAACAAAGTGGGAGGGACGGAGAGAGGGGACGACTAAGGGGGAGGGAAGGAGGGAGGGGATGGCAAAGGGGGAGGAACGGAGGGGGGACAACAAAAGGGGGGGGGAACGGATGGGGGGCGACAAAGGGGGAGGGACGGATGGGGGACCACAAAAGGGGGGGAACGGAGGGGGGACGACAAAGAAGGAGGAACGGATGGGGGACGGCAAAGGGGGAGGAAGGTAGGGGGAACGGCAAAGGGGGGGGACGGAGGGGAGATGGCGAAGGGGGAGGAAGGGAGGGGGGACGGCAAAGGGGGGGGGAACGGAGGGGGGACGACAAAGGGGGAGGAACGGAGGGGGGACGACAAAGGGGGCGGGACGGAGGGGGGACGACAAAGGGGGAGGGACGGAGGGAGGGGATGGCAAAGGGGGAGGAACGGAGGGAGGGACGGCACAGGGGGAGGAACGGAGGGGGGACAACAAGGGGGGGGGAACGGATGGGGACGACAAAGGGGGAGGGACGGATGGGGGACCACAAAGGGGGGGGAACGGAGGGGGGACGACAAAGAAGGAGGAACGGATGGGGGACGGCAAAGGGGGAGGAAGGTAGGGGGAACGGCAAAGGGGGGGGACGGAGGGGAGATGGCGAAGGGGGAGGAAAGGAGGGGGGACGGCAAAGGGGGGGGAACGGAGGGGGGACGACAAAGGGGGAGGAACGGAGGGGGGACGACAAAGGGGGAGGGACGGAGGGGGGACGACAAAGGGGGAGGGACGGAGGGAGGGGACGGCAAAGGGGGAGGAACGGAGGGAGGGGACGGCACAGGGGGAGGAACGGAGGGGGGACAACAAATGGGGGGGGAACGGATGGGGACGACAAAGGGGAGGGACGGATGGGGGACCACAAAGGGGGGGGAACGGAGGGGGACGACAAAGAAGGAGGAACGGATGGGGGACGGCAAAGGGGGAGGAAGGTAGGGGGAACGGCAAAGGGGGGGGACGGAGGGGAGATGGCGAAGGGGGAGGAAGGGAGGGGGGACGGCAAAGGGGGGGGAACGGAGGGGGACGACAAAGGGGGAGGAACGGAGGGGGGACGACAAAGGGGGAGGGACGGAGGGGGACGACAAAGGGGGAGGGACGGAGGGAGGGGACGGCACAAGGGGGAGGAACGGAGGGAGGGGACGGCACAAGGGGAGGAATGGAGGGGGGACAACAAAGGGGGGGGAACGGATGGGGACGACAAAGGGGGAGGGACGGATGGGGGACCACAAAGGGGGGGGGACGGAGGGGGGACGACAAAGAAGGAGGAACGGATGGGGGACGGCAAAGGGGGAGGAAGGTAGGGGAACGGCAAAGGGGGGGGGACGGAGGGGAGATGGCGAAGGGGGAGGAAGGGAGGGGGGACGGCAAAGGGGGGGGAACGGAGGGGGGACGACAAAGGGGGAGGAACGGAGGGGGACGACAAAGGGGGAGGGACGGAGGGGGGACGACAAAGGGGGAGGACGGAGGGAGGGACGGCACAAGGGGGAGGAACGGAGGGAGGGGACGGCACAAGGGGAGGAATGGAGGGGGGACAACAAAGGGGGGGGGACGGATGGGGGACGACAAAAGGGGAGGGACGGATGGGGGACCACAAAGGGGGGGGAACGGAGGGGATGATAAAGGTGCCAGCGCGAAACGCAACAGCGCGCAACGCGTCAGAGCGCAAGGTGTCAGCGCAAAACGCGCCAACGCGCACGGCGCCAGCGCGCAAGACGCCAGAGCGCAAGGCGCCAGCGCGCATGGCGCTTGCGCTAGACGCGCCAGCGTGCACGGCGCTCTCGCTAAACGCACGAGCGACATGTCGCCAGCGCGAAACGTACTGGCGCGCAAGGCGCTAGCGTGAAATGAGCCAGGACGCATGACGCCAGCGCAAAACGTGCCAACGCGCACGGCAACAGAGCGAAACGCGCCAGCGCGCAAGGCTCCAGCGCGAACTAACGTGACTTAGGTAACAGTTAAGCGTAATTAAGAGCAAGAACTAGGCCAAGTGTCTGCTAGGACTAGGTATGATTATAATCTACAAGAGCAAGAACAAGGCACGAGGGAAGAGGAAGAACAAGTTATTGTACAAGCGAGGGACGAGCAAGAGCGAGACATTGGTGGAAGACTCACCAACAAACCCTAGCAGGGGTGTGTTCGCTCTGTCCATGAAAGCCATGCATTTGTAGGTCAACACCATTACAAACGTCGATAGAGCAATCCAAAGCATTTTTTGATATAGAAAATTAAAGCGTTTCTGAGATTATTAATATTACATAAATTATCATACATCCATTTTCCCAATCAATTAAATTAATTCATTTCTAAAAAAAAATCTACTAAACATCCCTAATAAAATGGCGCATGGAAATAATACCTTTCAATATATGCAGGAAAATATGGATACTATTGTGGTATATTTCATACTTAGCATTTCTGTAAGTCGTTTATCAATAGATAGTGTCGAATCCTACTGTAGAAGATAAGTCCGTAGGATGACATCAGCAAATAGCGCTCGTCATAGGACAGTCGTTTCAGTCACGCGAATAGTCGCACCTCTTCATTGTCATTTAGGGCGCATAGCGCGATAGTGACGAACAGGTACATTAGCGAATATGTACTTTTCATAGAGCTATAAATCTTTGTTTTGTCCTTTTTATTATTAACCTTGTGATTTCAACTTTGAGAACTTTAAGACTTAACTTCTGCAAAAACATATACTTAGGTTCATTCTTACAAGACTTCCGCTGTCTTACTAGTCTACCGTTCCAGTAAAGATCATAGGCTAACACTTGAGGTTTTCCAAGTGTTCGTGTTTGCAGATTCTATACTTGGTCTTCTGCAACACCTGTCGAAATATTATAGATACATACGCAACCCACCCGACGATTTACGTCGAGCCTTGTTATTTTATTTTTTATATATATAACAAACTCACCGTACTTCGCCGCAATAGAATCTACTCCTGGGACTCGCATGTAGGGTTCAAACCCGTCTTTCGTTCGGACTTCGAGGAAGTTTGAAACGGTCTAGTATGTTTCAGTTAGATAAGAGCTGGTACAGTGTGGTTTTTGTTCAAACAGTAGCCACTCGAACCTCAAATATGACGCCCTCAGGTTCTGGGGGAGGAGGGGAAGGTGTTTGGGTGGAGGGGGGGGGGGGGGGGAGTGGGGGGAACTGTGTTTGGGGGAGGTCTGCAGCAGCGGCTGGCTTGTAGGGATCTCTTCACCCAGTCACTGGGACCAGCCATGCCTTTTGCGGATGATGGTGGCGGACTGACAGTTGGCGGAAGACAGATGAGAAGGATAGAGGCGGAAGGTAAGAAATGGCGGCGCCGGGTGCGCAATCTGGGAGCCGATTGGACGTTGATTTGCGCGGAAGCATCTCGTTCGGCGGGTAACCATGTCCTTCCACCACCAAAAAGCACAACAGGGGGTTCCTTCCAGACCAGACCTCTTGATGTGGGGTGGTGCCGCGCGGTTCGCCACGAGGCTCCGCCGTGCTTGAGTGGCCACGCGTACTACTGGCTCTGTGATTCGTTTCGCGCCCACTGATGAGATGCGGTTCGAATTCTTCGGACAAATGGATGAAGCCACTCATACATTGGCTGCTCCACATTGGCTGCAGGTCGCGCGGGCTCGTATCGATGCTCTCGAAACCGTTATTATTATGCAAGTATTTTGAACTAAAATACCACGGCAACGTCTTGTAAAATAATAATGATGAAAAATAGACAATACCGCATAAATGGCGGTTGCTAAGCGGACGACACGTCCAGCAAATGTCCGAACACCCGTGGGAGTCGTCGTGACACCCCTGCCACGTCGCATATCTCGCATAGCCAGCACCGACATGCTACACTGTAACTCCATGTAATGCGACGTGATGTGATGCGATTTGTTGGAGACACTTGTCGCCAAAAACGGCCTCCTTGCCAACAGAGCTCATCATCAGTTGCCCCGATTATGTCGTGGCGGTAGTTTCCGAAGCTCCTTTCCCAGGCTCGAAGCTGAGGCAACATATCTCGACAGTGACAGCGGCTAGAAGTTCGCTTGCCTGCAGCTTATCTGTTGTTACGCGATCACATCCACTATCGCTTCTTGTCCGTTCCACGATCCCTGGCTAACTCTAACCTAACCTGCCACGAGCACAGCCGTTCAGCTGGCAACCCGCCATTCGCCCCACCGCCCGTCGGCGGCGCAAAGGGCGGCGTCTCCCATCGCCACGCTGAGAGACACCCTTTCCCTGCCCCTATCGCTGCAACTCCCCGCGGGGCTATCGTTACCCCCAATCCCGTCCCTCCCCCAGTTACCGCCGCTCCCGCAGTTTCCGCCACTCCCGCCGCTTCATCTTCCGCATCTTCCGCGCAACCTCCAGGAATGGCGCGACAACTTTCAATGGCCCCCCGCCGGCTGGGACTGGGCGGAGCTCCGCCGCGCGCTCGCCTCCGCGCTGCACGCGGAAGGCTCCGCGGCGGGCCCGCTGGCCGCTTGGGCTGCGGCGGCGGCGGCCGCGGGGCTGGACTTGAGCGCGTGGGGGCTACTAGGGTTACTGGAGGATGGCGCGCGGGCTGAAGGGGAGGGGGAGGCGGAAGAGCGGCGGTTGGCGGAGTTTCACCCGCATGAGAATCCACCTCTCCGCGACGCGCTGCTGAAGCAAATGCGCGTAGTAGCCGCCGCTCGAGCCGCTGACACGCCTATAGCTCGAGCAGACGCCACCGTTGATATCTGCATTAGCGAGTTCGAAGGCGTGCACTATCGCGTACAGGTGGAAGAATCAGATCCCAGCACGCTGCTCTTATCCATAGCGATCCCTCAGGCAGGACCCGAGCTGATGACCAGTGCGGGACTGCCACGTGGCGCCATCGAGGCCGTTCATTTGGGGTACTGGCAGATCGCGACCGTTCTCCCGACGCCAGAGCACGGGTATAATCTCACGCTAGTAGTTAATCTCGCGCGCCTCCCGGACCGCGATTCCGCGCGCCAAGCCATCGCATGCAAGCTAGCGCGCCTGAGATCGTTCATCATGGGCGCGCCGCTCCGCGCGCTGCTGCTTCCACTACGCCCGGGCGGGGTGCTAGGCGGGGAAAGGGCAGGCGGAGCAGCGGGCGGAAACGAGCTGGGGGAGGCTGTGGCGCGCGGAATGGGGGGAGGGGTGGAGGAGTCGTGGGGGGGAGCGGGGATGCTGACGAGTGTGGTGCACCGGAAGGGGAGGGTGCTGTTCGTGGTGCCGCGGGGGGATAGTAGTGTGACTATAGTGATTCCCATGCGGTTGAAGGACATGCATGATGCTGTGATTGCGAGCCAGTTCATGCTGGTAAGATGGGGGGGCTGCCGTGGCGCATGGTAAGTCTATTTTTGAGGCGCCTCAAAAATAGACTCCTCTCGCTTGCCATCCTTGAGGCGCCTCAAAAATAGACTCCTGATGCTGTGATTGCGAGCCAGTTCATGCTGGTAAGATGGGGGGGCTGCCGTGGCGCATGGCAGGGGCCGTGTCCACGCACGCACGCACAAATGCACTCACACATGGATATGCAGATGCGCATGCACTGGTGCTTTTGAGAGTCAGGAGCAGCATTCACAATGGAACCTCACTGCCTCTACCAACCCCACTGCATGCCTCGTACCCTGTCCCCTATTCCCCTGCCAAACCTGACGTCCCATACCCCTAACCCCGCTCTCCCGCTCTCTCTCTGCCCTCCTCCCTCTCCCGCCTCCTCTCTCTCCCCGCCCACCTCTCCTTCTTCCCATCCCTTACTCCCTCTCCCCTGCACGCCTATCCCAGGAGCTAGCCGCCACGCGCCGTGAGGCCGATGCAGCGGCCAGGAGAGCAGCGGCGGCAGCAGCAGCGTACGCAGCCGCCACCCTAGAAGCCGCCAAAGCGCAGGCCGCCGCCCTCCTAGACCCGCGCGCCCCCCCTCCCCCGCCCCCGCCCCCTCCGCCCCCCCAAGACCCTCTCGTGCCCCTCGCCGCCGCCCCGCCCTTCTCCTTCTCCTATGTGTGTCCGGAGGAGTTGAGAGCAGTGCCGTTGCTCTATAGGTCGGCCAATGCAGGGTATGCGTGCTTTGAAGTGGGGCGGAGGCATTTGGAAGGGGCAGGGGGAGCAGGGGGAGGAGGGGGGGGGAAGGGGGGATTGGGGGGGAGGCGGTGGGAGCGGGTGGTGTGGGGAATAGAGAGCTTTCACGGAGTGGTGGCAAACCATGTGCGATGGGTGAAGGTAGCCGCGAGGGGACGGATGCGGCAGTGGGAGGAGCGGCTCAGAAAACGCCTCCCCCAGCCACCCCCCGCTGAGATCCGCCATACCCCCCACGCGGAATCCCCCTCCCTCCCCCTGCCCCTTCTGGTGTGCGCGGATGATGATGATGAGGAGGAGGAGGAGGCGGAGGGGGAAGTGTGGGGGGGAGGGGAAGGGGATGGGGGAGCGCATGGGGCGGAGGCAGCAGCAGTGGCGGAGGAGGTTGCAGGGATGATGTGGGGGGGGAAGGGGGGGAAGGGGGAGGGGAGGGGGTGGGGAGGAGGGGTTGAGAGTGGGGAGGAGAAGGGGCAGGAAGGGGGGGAGAGAGGGCGAGGAGGGGAGGGGGAGTGGAAAAGAAAGGAGGTTGAGAAGGAGAGGTTTGGAGGGGGGTAGGGAGGAACGGAGGAAGGCGATTGCTGAGGGACGAGGGATGGGGGAAAAGGAAGGGGCAGACAGGCTGAGCGATAGTATGGGGAGGCAAGGGAAGGGAGGAGGCGGTAGGGGCAAGGGGAAACTTGTGAAGGGGAAGAGTGGGAAGGCGGGGAAGGAGGATGTAGGAAGAAAGAGTGGGAAGTTGGGGAGGGAGGATGTAGGTGGGAAGAGTGGGAAGAGGAGAGGTGGGAGGCGAGGGATGGTGGACGGGCGTGAAGGGGAGGTGGTCCAGGAGGCGATGGAGGTAGATAACGCACGTGATGCAGCTGATGCTGATGCGGCTGATGCTGATGCAGCTGATGCTGATGCGGCTGATGCTGATGCGGCTGATGCTGTTGCAGCTGTTGGGTTGGGGACTGAAGATATTGCACTGAAGGCAGGTGGAGGGAGGGAGATGAAGGAGGGAGATGATGTAGAGGAAAAGGGAGGAGAGGAGGTGAAGGAAGAGGGGGAAGAGGAAGTAATGGCGAAGGGAGGAGAGGAGGTAAGGGAAAGGGAAGGAGAGGTAGTAATGGCGAAGGGAGGAGAGGAGGTAAGGGAAAGGGAAGGAGAGGTAGTAATGGCGAAGGGAGGAGAGGAGGTAAGGGAAAGGGAAGGAGAGGTAGTAATGGCGAAGGGAGGAGAGGAAATGACGGACAGGAAAGGAGAGGAGGTAAAGGAAAGGGGAGGAGTGGAAGTAAACGACAAAGGAGGAGAGGAGGTGAAGGAAGGAGGGGAGGTAAAGGAGAAGGGAGGGGAGGAGATGAAAGTAAATGGAGAGGAGGATTCAAAGGAAAAGGAAGGAGAGGTGAAGGAAAAGGAAGGAGAGGAGGTGGAGAAAACGGAAGAAGAGGAGGAAAAGGGAACGGGGGGAGAGGAGATAGTTGAGAAGGGAGGAGAGGAGGTGAAAGAAAAGGGGGGAGAGGAGGCAGAGGAAAAGAGAAGAGAGGAGATAAGGGGAAAGGATGCAGAAGAGGCAGAGGAAAGGGGAGGAGAGGAGATTTGTGAAAAGGGAGGGGAGGAGTTACAGGGAAACGGAGGAGAGGAGGCAAGGCAAACGGAAGGAAAGGAGGTAGAGGAAAAGGGCGGGGGGGGGGTAAAGGAAAGAGAAGGCGGGGACGAGAAGGGAGGAGAGGAGAGAATGGAAGCAGGAGGAGAGGAGAGAAAGGAAGCAGGAGGAGAGGAGCGAAAGGAAGCAGGAGGAGAGGAGAGAAAGGAAGCAGGAGGAGAGGAAGTGAAAGAGAAGGAAGGAGAGGAGGTAGGGGGAAAGGCAGGGGAGCAAGCAAGAGAAAAGGAAGGAGAGGAAGTATCGGAGAAGGGAGGAGAGGATGCAGAGGAAGAGGAGAAAGCTGAAGCTGCGGATGCAAAGACAGGTGATGGAGTTGCAGAGACTGTTGTTGTAGTAACCGCAAGGACAGCTGCACGGACCGAGGGGGAGGAAGCTGATGGTACTGGTGTAAGCACGACTGGTGTTGCTGGTGCAAAGGAGGGGGAAGGTGCAAAGGAGGGTGAAGGTGCAAAGGAGGGTGAAGGTGCAAAGGAGGGTGAAGGTGCTAAGGAGGGTGAAGGTGCAAAGGAGGGTGAAGGTGCAAAGGGGGGGGAAGGTGCAAAGGAGGGTGAAGGTGCAAAGGGGGGGGAAGGTGCAAAGGAGGGGGCAACACCAGCACCAGCAGCACCACCAGCAGCACAACCAGCAGCACCGCCAGCAGCACCACCACCCGCACAACAAGCAGCACTACCAGCACCAGGAGCACCAGCAGCACCAGCAGCACCATCCGCACCAACCACACCACCACCAGCACCACCAGCGCCACCAGGAGAACCGACAGCAGCACCAGCAGCACCACCAGCACCACCAGCACCACGACCAGTAGCACCACCACCACCGGCACTAGCGGCACCAGCAGCACCACCACCAGCAGCACCAGCACCAGCACCAGTAGCAGCACCACCAGCAGCACCAGCAGCTCCAGCAGCACCAGCACCACCACCGCCACCACCACCACCAGCAGCACCAGCAGCACCAGCAGCACCAGCAGCACCAGCAGCACCAGCAGCACCAGCAGCACCAGCAGCACCACCAGCGCCACCAGCAGCAGCAGCACCACCACTAGCACCAGCAGCACCACCAGCGCCACCAGGACCACCACCAGCGCAACCAGTAGCACCACCAGCAGCACCAGCAGCACCACTAGCACCAGGAGCACCACCACCAGCACCACCGCCAGCAGCACCACCAGCACCACCACCACCAGCAGCACCAGCAGCACCACCAGCACCAGTACCAGCACCAGCACCACCAGCAGCACCACCAGAACCACCAGCGGCACCACCAGCGCCACCAGCAGCACCAGCAGCGCCACCAGCAGCAGCACCACCACCACCACAAGCACCAGCAGCACCAGCAGCACCAGCAGCACCAGCAGCACCAGCACCAGCACCAGCACCAGCACCAGCACCAGCACCAGCACCAGCACCAGCACCAGCACCAGCACCAGCACCAGCACCAGCACCAGCACCACCAGCACCACCAGCACCACCAGCAGCACCAGCAGCACCACCAGCGGCACCACCAGCGCCACCAGCAGCACCGCTACCAGCAGCAGAAGCACCACCACCACAAGCACCAGCAGCACCACCAGCGCCACCAGCACCAGCACCACCAGCAGCACCAGCAGCACCAGCAGCACCAGCAGCACCAGCAGCACCAGCAGCACCAGCAGCACCAGCAGCACCAGCAGCACCAACAGCACCACCACCAGCACCACCAGCACCACCAGCACCACCAGCACCACCAGCACCACCACAAGCACCACCACCAGCACCAGCAGCACCAGCAGCACCACCAACACCACCAACGCCACCAGCAGCACCACCAGCAGCACCAGCAGCACCAGCAGCACCAGCAGCACCACCAGCGCCACCACCAGCACCACCAGCACCACCAGCCCCACCAGCTGCACCACTAGCAGCACCAGCAGCACCAGCAGCACCAGCACCAGCACCACCACCACCACAAGCACCACCACCAGCACCAGCAGCACCACCAGCGCCACCACCAGCACCACCAGCATCACCAGCACCACCAGCACCACCAGCAGTACCACCAGCACCAGCAGCACCACCAGCGCCACCAACAGCACCAGCAGCACCACCAACACCACCAACGCCACCAGCAGCACCACCAGCAGCACCAGCAGCACCAGCTCCAGCACCAGCACCAGCACCAGCACCAGCTCCAGCACCAGCACCACCAGCACCACCAACACCACCAGCACCACCAGCGCCACCAGCACCACCAGCCCCACCAGCTGCACCACTAGCAGCACCAGCAGCACCAGCAGCACCAGCACCAGCACCAGCACCACCACCAACGCCACCAGCAGCACCACCAGCAGCACCAGCGCCACCACCAGCACCACCAGCACCACCAGCACCACCAGCACCAGCAGCACCAGCAGCGCCACCAGCAGCACCAGCAGCACCAGCAGCACCACCAACACCACCAACGCCACCAGCAGCACCACCAGCCCCACCACCAGCACCACCAGCACCAGCACCAGCACCAGCACCAGCTCCAGCACCAGCACCAGCACCACCAGCACCACCAACACCACCAGCACCACCAGCGCCACCAGCAGCACCAGCACCAGCAGCAGCACCAGCAGCACTAGCACCACCAGCAGCACCACCAGCAGCACCAGCAGCACCACCAGCACCAGCAGCACCAGCAGCAGCAACACCAGCACCACCAGCACCACCAGCACCACCACAAGCACCACCAGCAGCACCAGCAGCACCAGCAGCACCACCGACACCACCAACGCCACCAGCAGCACCAGCAGCACCAGCAGCACCACCAGCGCCACCACCAGCACCACCAGCGCCACCAGCACCACCAGCGCCACCAGCTGCACCACTAGCAGCACCAGCAGCACCAGCAGCACCCGCAGCACCAGCAGCACCAGCAGCACCAGCACCGGCACCAGCACCAGCACAAGCACCACCACCAGCACCAGCAGCACCACCAGCGCCACCAGCAGCACCACCAGCACCACCAGCACCACCAGCACCACCACCAGCACCACCAGCACCAGCAGCACCACCAGCGCCACCAGCAGCACCAGCAGCACCAGCAGCACCACCAACACCACCAACGCCACCAGCAGCACCACCACCAGCACCACCAGCACCAGCAGCACCACCAGCACCAGCACCAGCTCCAGCACCAGCACCAGCACCACCAGCACCACCAACACCACCAGCACCACCAGCGCCGCCAGCAGCACCAGCACCACCAGCATCACCAGCAGCACTAGCACCACCAGCAGCACCACCAGCAGCACCACTATCACCACCAGCACCCCCAGCACCACCAGCACCAGCAGCACCAGCAGCACCAGCAGCAGCACCACCAGCACCACCAGCACCACCACAAGCACCAGCAGCACCAGCAGCACCACCAACACCACCAACGCCACCAGCAGCACCACCAGCAGCACCAGCAGCACCACCAACACCACCAACGCCACCAGCAGCACCAGCAGCAGCAGCAGCAGCAGCAGCAGCAGCAGCAGCAGCAGCAGCAGCACCAGCACCACCAGCACCACCAAAACTACCAGCACCACCAGCGCCACCAGCAGCACCAGCACCACCCGCAGCACCAGCAGTACCACCAGCACCACCAGCACCACCAGCAGCACCACCAGCTCCAGCACCAGCACCTGCACCAGCACCAGCACCAGCACCAGCACCACCAGCACCACCAATACCACCAGCACCACCAGCGCCACCAGCAGCACCAGCACCACCCGCAGCACCACCCGCAGAACCAGCAGCACCACCAGCACCCCCAGCACCACCACCAGCAGCAGCAGCACCAGCAGCACCACCAGCAGCACCACCAGCAGCACCACCACCACCACACGCACCACCAGCAGCACCAGCAGCACCACCAACACCACCAACGCCACCAGCAGCACCACCAACACCACCAACGCCACCAGCAGCACCAGCAGCAGCAGCACCAGCAGCACCAGCAGCAGCAGCAGCAGCAGCACCAGCACCACCAGCACCACCAAAACTACCAGCACCACCAGCGCCACCAGCAGCACCAGCACCACCCGCAGCACCAGCAGTACCACCAGCACCACCAGCACCACCAGCAGCACCACCAGCTCCAGCACCAGCACCAGCACCAGCACCAGCACCAGTACCAGCACCACCAGCTCCACCAACGCCACCAGCGCCACCAGCACCACCACCAGCACTACCAGCAGCAGCAGCAGCAGCAGCAGCAGCAGCAGCAGCATCACCACCACCAACACCAGCACCAGCACCAGCACCACCACCAGCACCAGCACCACCAGCACCACCGGCACCACCAGCACCACCAGCACAACCATCGCCACCACCGCCACCACCGCCGCCGCCACCACCACCATCATGATTGCAACTGTTATCATCACCCTGGCCCCCACCATGAGTGTCTGCCACCATGATAAGCTCTATGATCGCCGTTACCACCAGCGATTTCCAAACATATTGTTGGTACTGGTGTGTGAGTTTGTGCTGCAATGGTTGTGCAGCATAGCACCTGTGTCCTCTGTGTGACTTATACATCTTTGTCAGACTAGCATGGAAAAAAACCTTTCTGACAAGCTTGCTGAGATTGTAGGTACATTTTTGTTGGAGAGTACCACGTTTCAATCCAATGGGGTGATGGGTGTTATGAATGAACAAGCAGAGTAGCGCGGAAATGAATAACGAAGTGTTCAATAACTAAATGACGATACAAGGAATGGCAAGCCAAGATATAGGAACACCAGAGCTAGTCTAACCATGAGATGGGAAGGTTCGGGAAAGAGATCGAAGGGTCTCTAAGTGACGAAGCAAGGCCCGGAGAACTCCCGAAGGTTGAAGTAGAAGGTCTGGAGAAGCCGAGGCGGTTCTGTTAGAAAAGGTTCGGAACTGTCCCGAGGCTTCAGGTGTGTTCAAGCATACGCGATAGCAGTACCGCTCGGTAAGGAATGGAAAATTCCTTACACCACCCCCCCCCCCCCTTAGCGAAGGTGATCCATATCAGCCACGTGCTTGCAGGCCAAATAATTCGCAAGTATCGAAGGTGACTGTATCTGGTCCGAGGGCACCCACGTGTCGTCCTCACTGGTACGATTGGTCCATCGTATCAGAAAGTCAACGTGTCGTCCTTGGTCGTCGATACGAATCCTATGGCTCAAAATCTTCAAAGGCTCGATGGTCGTCTCTGCTGGTGGCCGTACATCGGGGACCAATCGCTGTCGAGCGATGTCCGATGTGTCAGGTACGAAGGGTCGCAACAGGTTCACGTGGAACTTCTTGTGGATACGCCAATCGTCAGGTAGGCGTAACTGGGCGGTCACCGACGTCACCAACTTCATGA